ATTAAAACTGTTCACTTAACAATTAGTTCATGCGTCAGCGTGCGTATGTCGAGATATTGAGCACGCGGGAAGTTTGGAGAGCACGAAAGAGGCGTAAGAGTTGCACGAGGCGCAGCCGAGTGCAACTCTAGCCTCTTGAGTGCTCTCCAAACTTCCCAAGTGCTCAATATCTCGACATACGCACAGCTGCAGCATGAACTACTTGTTTTATAACATTATCAAAGCGATCAATGCAGCAGTTAACTGAAAATTTTATTATTGAAGGGCGCGCTCAAAGCAGTACGCGTCAATGTTTACGTGAATATATCTTTTTTCCTCACAGTTAATCTTATGTTTTTATCCTGAAACTGAGAGAAAGTGTACTCTAAAATGATTGTAAAATCCATATTTAGGTGCCGGAAAACTATTAATTTACCGAAAAATTGTTATTGAGAGAAAACAACTTTGCAAAGAATGAGCTCACGCCATAGCCCGCACAGCTCGCGGAGATGACAACAACAACAACAACACTCACCTCTTTTCCTTACTATCGGTTAACAAATTCAAACGTTTCCTCTTAAATTTCTTTACAAAACACATGGTAAACGCTTCATTGTCTATTGCTGAGTTATGGATGCACTCAAGAGACTCAGGATTGCTAAGCTCACAACAACTCGAGGAATTACGAATAGTTTATTGACGTCATCAGCGTGCTCAATAGGAATATGAAGCACGCTCGCGCTATTGAATTTGATTAGGCGAATTTTCTAGCTATGTTATAAAGCTCGTTGATAAGCGTGAATCTGGATCTGATGGTGACGAACAATGAAATAAATTTTGATGTAGGAAGCGGACGAAAGGACGAAAAAAATTGTAATATACACTCCTGCAATAAGATTAAAAACTCTCCATTTCCAAACTGTAAGGCATAGTAAAAGTATGGAAACAAACCAGAGACTTGCTGAGGCATATAATGCACGTTTTGTTGTCATTAAATTCGGATACGTCATGTGATAGTGAAGAGCTAAAAGTCGATCAACGCTTATGGCTGTGATTGTTGCGAGGGAAACACCACAGAGAGAAACAGACATCGAGAATGTGGCCTTGACAATAAACCCACCAGTTAAATAACGAAGTTTCATGGCAATGTAAACAGGTTGGACAACAAGCCCAACAAGAAAATCTGTACTAGCGAGACTGCATAAGAAGATAGTAGACGGTACTGAACGAAGCGAAGGAGTTCTTAAGATGGCGGCCAACACCAAAGCATTACCAGTGATGGATGTCAGCATCAGTGGAGCATTGAGGATGCAATTTATGACGACAACCGTTTCCAAGCTAGAAGTGTTGTCCATTTTCAAGTTGTCGGATTTTGATTCATTCTTATCGACAAAGGAGTAGTTTAGCATCTTCGATTTCTTTCTTTTTTTTGGCTTTTCTTGTTGCTTATCGCGTTTCTTTTACAAAAAGAAGCGGTGACTTCGTTGCTTTGTTCTAATTGTGTAACTGGCACCTGTTTGACTCTTTAAAAAGTCTTTATTAATGAATTCATCATGAAGGCTGAACTCTGTTTTCCATAAGTAAAATTTAGACCAATGGGGGGGTGGGGGGGGGGAAGTGTCCGTATTTAAGTAAAAAATACCCCCTTTTTATGAAGAAAATACTAAAGATACAAAACAGGACGTCAAATGAAATCTCTCTAACTTTCAGAAAGCCATCATTCCGTAGACCATTCCATAAAACACTCAAAAGTCGCATACCGTAAAGTTCCGAAAATAAGCCCTCCATGTATAAGCCAGAAGGCACAAGTGTAATAACTGGACCCAAGTGTAATAAAGTTCCCATCTGTAATAACATTTGGACCCAAGCATAATGAAAGTCCCATCCGAAATAATATCTTAAACCCAAGCGTAATAAAGGTCCTATCTGTAATAACATTTGGACCCAAGAGTAATAAAGGCCGTATTTGTAAAAGTTTTCTTCATACTCAAACCGGTAATATATCAACAACAAATTATAGCCAATAAGAGGTAAAAATTTTAAAATCACGTGACCTGCAGAAACTAACTCCTGCCTTTTAATTTTGCCTTCGTGGCTTTCATGTCACTTTTAACTGAATTTTACACCTAATGGTTTGGCGAGTAAAGTATTAGCTAAACGGCACTGGCCATTGAAAAATATGGCCATTACCACTTAGAATTATTAACCGAAGAAATTCTTATCTTATCCTTATTCGTTCGATCATCGATTCAAGCCATATAATTTGAATTAAGCAACGGCATATGCTTGATTTGTTTAGCCTGACATTTTATATAAGTGAACGTGAATGACATATTTATTTGTTCTGGAGCGATGAATTTTTTGAAAAGCATGTTTCATAGCCAGTTATAAATTTGTCAAAACGTAAACCGAGAGGCATTGCTAGATTCGGTGGTATTTTTTTCCCTTCATGTTTTTCTGGTTCTGGTTGGTCACATGAGCCATGATGTCAGCCTTGTATTAAGATACACTGTTGTGAGCA